ATGAATAATATTTGAATCCAACCAATATAATGATTCAAGATACTTTACTGATGAATTCAAACTTGAAAAATATCATAATGACTACTAAACTTTTGATACAATGCATGGAAGATTGAATGTAAACAAACATTGAATCCCATTCAACATACTTTCCATTGGTTACTTGCATATCTGCAAGAGGGTGTATTGCTTATTTTGAATCTCCTAGAGATCCCTAGGACACGCCTTGAATCGATCAGATAAAGTTATTGAAGAACGGTTCAAAATGTAAAAAAAATAGAAATAACATTGGAATTGTATTTCTTCTGCAAACGTAAGGTAATTAATATTACAAGTATGTAACTATATATAGTGTTGCGATTTTTTTCTCCACTCATCAGCATCAAGCATTGGCCAGTCTCACTCGTATTTTGAGCTCATCTGCCACTGTGTAATTTCTCATGATCAAAATTAGAAAAATTAACGTAGAATTCAATCGGAGGCATCCGCTGCATGTCAGCCAATTTTTATTTAAATGACATGCTTTAAGGATACACAAGTATAAAAATCAATTTGACACTTCTATCACATTGAATTTGTTTATTGTGTAATTGCATTTTCATTTAAAGTTTCATTTAGTGAGTTCGGAATATGACAAAATATATGAGATCATTGGAGTTCAAGAAAAAGGAAATTGTTACTTGTTTTGTAGTATTGTTGGAGACACTGATTCGGTACTTGGGTAGGACATATATCTCATAGGTATATCTATAATAATAATAATAATCATTTATTCAAATTCAAATCCTAATATACAAACTACATTCATTAAAGTTTTATAAATTGTAAAGTCTTGAATATAAGTATATTACACAGATGAAGTTCATATTGAATTTTAAGGAATATTGTATATAAAGAAAAAGAAAAAATTATAAGTATGTTCAACTATTGTCCATACTATCGACTACAAAAAAAAGACTGAGGTTTATTGATATCTCATTTTCAAATATCTAACAAGGGATTTCTTAAATGTTCTAAGAGATTCACTTTGTTTTATTTCATCTGGGAGGCCATTGTACTCTAGTAGTCCTTTATGGAATACAGAGTTCATTGAACTAGTGTAATTAAAGCGTGGTACATACAGGTTATTATTACCTCTGGTAGGATAATTATGAATTTGATGCTGGAACATGATGAATTGATCAAAGTATAAGGGAGCATTACCAGAAATTATTTTGAAAATAAGTATCATTGAGAAATAAAACAAGCGATCCTTTACAGTTAGCCAATTTAGAACTTCAAGCATCGTTTTGTTGGTGTATATCTATTACATTTCAATATCAAACGCATACGTCTATTTTGTAACTTCTGTAGTGAGGACACAGAGTTCGCATCTATCAGTGACAGTAAACTAGCACAGTAATCGAAATGGGGTTGAATAATGGATTTAAAAACTGTTATAGAAGTTTGAAACGGCAAGTACCTATTGACACGACTGAAGAAATACATTTTTTTTACAATTTTGTCACGGATGTATTGAAAATGTTTTTTCATGTCCAATGTTTACCAAGGAAGCAAGCTGAAGCCAATTTATTCTACCTCCCAGGGAGGTAATATTTTTTTCTTCCCGTGGGACTTAATTGACAGGTTTGTATCCTTAAATGAGAGAGCTAAGCGCTTACTTGCGATGCAGTGAGTAGATAAAATAAATAATATCATTATTATTATTATTACTATTATTATTATTATTTGAGTTCATATTATTCCAGTCACAACCCTGCGGCCTCCGACGTCACGCAGAGTCATGTTGGATAAAATCCAGTGACTACTCTCCACAGCCTGTGAGGTCAATAATCACTGGGACCAAGAACCGTGTGCCCTGAGTAGACGCAATGATCCTAGTATGACGGCCTTCTGCATTCCACCAGCCAGGATGTGTGCCTTATCACGGCACGTTGGGATTTTCTGGATCTCCGAGAGCAGCGTGTGTCGTGTGTCGTGTGCCTCCTAGGGAGTCGATTATCAGGATGACCAATTCCACAGATCGGTCTGGATAGAGCCAGCGGAGTTCGTATAGAAGATCTCGATATTTAGTCCGTTTCTCCTCCTCCTTCAAAACGATGTTCGGTTCGGCTGGCGCCGAAAACTCGATCACGAACATCGCTTTGGTTTGATGGTCGAGGAGGACTACATCAGGCTTGTTAGCTTGTATTTGTCTGAGGGTGGGGAGTGAGAAGTTCCAATAAATTCGGCACCTCACATTCTCCACAACGGACTCAATATCCCCCGGAGCATAGGGCAGCACTGGGGTCTCGTCTATTCCGTACGAGTGCCTCAAATTATTATTATTATTATTATTATTATTTGAATTTATGTAATTCCAGTCACGACCCTGCGATCTCCGACGCCACGCAGAGTCGTGCTGGATAAAATCCAGTGACTACTCCCCATAGCCTGTGAGGTGAATAATCACTGGGACCAAGAACCGTGTGCCCTGAGTAAACGCAATGATCCAAGTATGACGCCCTTCTGCATTCCACCAGCCAGGATGTGTGCCTTATCGCTGCATGCTGGGATTTTCTGGATTGCCAAGAGATGCGTATGTCGTGTACCTCCTAGGGAGGCGATTATCAAGATGACCATTTCCACAGAATGGGCTGGAAAGAGCCTGCGGAGTTCGAAGAGAAGATCTGGATATTTAGTCTGTTTCTCCTCCTCCTTCAAAACGATTTTCGGTTCGGCTGGCGCCGAATTCATTCCAATATTGCACTTCAGAATCGAACTAGGTTGTAACCAGAAAGTACTCCCCATTCAATAAATAGATATTCAGGAAATAAATATAGATTTCACAAATATCTTACCTGAATAAATAATGTTACCAAATATGAATTCGTACTTCATATGAGTACATGAATATTTATGTTGTATATTAATAAAATAAATATTTTGCGAAACTGAACTTTTATTCCCAAAAGCAATTTTCCAAACAAACGAACAAGTGCCTTGTTTGAATAATATCTCCCAGCAACCTACATTCTTACTACCCTCTTACTACTGATACTGTGTAAATCTATAGGATTCTGCAGAGAATTGCACAGCAAATCCGAGTGAAAACTCCAATAATTATCACGGAAAAACTGACTTTTAATCAGTATATTTTGACAGACAGTTAACAACTAACAACTACATATATCATCACATCGGTGACCATATACAGGGCGTTAGGTTGTAAAGCATGAACCTCCAACACTCCCCCTGAATCTTAGATCCTTCATTCAAAATTTGTCATAAGGCCTAATCACTTAAGTCTCCGACACTCCTCCGAAAAATCGAATCTTCATTTTCTTTAGATGATCCGACAAAATAACAGCTGGGATAGATTTAGTCAATTGATCTGCTAGGTTTTTTTCTTCGATTCTACATACCTCAGAATAATTTGATTTTCTCCAAGTCAAGTCTCAACATGAAATAATCTCAAATCAATGTGTTTAGATCTATCTGTTGGTGTGTGATTTTCTGCAAGTTTTATCGTTCCCTGATTATTTGCGTGAATAGGGAGAGGTTCTTCAGAAAATCCATTTTTGTCAATTTCAGTTCCCAATTTTTTTCAGGAATACAAATTCTTTCGCAGTCTCACTCAAAGCAATGAATTCTGATTCAACAGTGCTCAGAGCAACGCAGTGCTGTTCTCGGCTACACCAGCTTACTACTCGGCCTCCCAAAATGAATAAGTATCTACTGAAAGATCGCCTGTCTCATTTCATCTGAACCCCAATCTGCATCTGTGAAAGCTTTCATTTTCTTTCCGTTTTTTTATATTCAATTCCAAATTCCTTCGTTCCCTTCAAGTATCTCAATAAATGTTGCATTCCTTTCCAGTGATGTTTAGAAGGATCATGATTGAATTGACTCATGAATGTTGCAGCAAACAATAAATCCACTCTTATCGATACTGCCAAATACAAGATGCTTGCAATCACTCGCTGATAGAGATAGAGATTCCTCTCATTTTCATCGAGGGGATCATTATCATTCACATGGAATTTTTCTCCAAGTGGTAATGGAGTAGAAACAGTTTGAGATTGCAACATGTTCATCTTCTTCAAAATGTCATCACAATATAATGTTTTGAGCTCTCTTCAATAATTCATATTGTTTCACTATTTTATCTATTTTACTTCAAATGTTGAATCAGTTTCAGTGTTGAGCGTGAAATTTATTATTATTAATTTATCAATTTCCCACCATTCCTGGTCAACGTATTGGTCGAGATTTGCACCATTATGTAAACATATTCAGTACTGAACGTGATAAATATAAATGCTTGTAGGCCGCCTCACACTTAATCAAACTAGACCATTCCGACGGGAAAATTTGTAGGTATGACCATGTTTGTGCATATATGAGTGCCTAAAAGTAAAGGACTTGTGATAGTTTTACACAACCATCAAGTTGAAACGAAGTATATTGAATTTGAAAAGTAAAACAACATGAAACATCACAACAGTAGGTACCATTCAGTCTCTTGGGGGAAAAGATCTTGATCCTCGTCTTCGTTCTCATCTTCTTGTAGGAACACGTTCAGAGGACCATTCTGTTCTTCCTCATCTCCAGAGTCCTTGAGGGACCCCATTCAGGCAGTTCCCCTGGCAATTTTGGCATGCCGTAAAACATTTGAGGCTTGTTTTTTTGCAGCCACACTTTGCGCTGGCACAGTCTCTGGTGCATCAGCAGAAAATCATTTTCAGTATATCGTCCGGTGCAGCAGCAAACTCACTGTGCAGCTGTGTGGACCAGGCAGTTGTCCTCAGTTTTTCACCTATGCATCTGAGAAGGCAGGTCATTTCCCAGCCACACCTGAACTTGGTGGAATGTTCGGAGGGAATGCTGTTTTGTCGCTCCCTCGCTGGGAGGAAGGCAAGAGATATAGGACTTGATGGTGGCCACCGATTTCAAGAACGAGTTGTACCTAAAGGCAATGAGGGAGACCTCTTCCGCTGGAGCCCCCATACGACCTCAAGATGCAGGTTTCACCTGCCTTTTGTACTTGGGCGGTGGTGGGGAAAGGGTCTGAAAAGACCGCTGCTGCTTTCTGGACCTCTGGATACTTCATTTACTACTTCGCGAAAGCGACCTTGCTTTTTCGAAAAGAGGAAGATGTTGTGTCGCATTCGGTAAATGCGTGCAGAAATAGCACGTCCTTGAAACCTTGTTGCTGAAGCCAGGCTTAATGAATATAATTTCCTTATGCGCCGCATCAACTTTAGTCATCAAGAGGACTATGAGGTCGACATCTTAACACACAATGCCGACAGCTGTTGTTTCCGATATTTTCACAGCCGTATCCACAATCAGAACGTCCGCATCACTTTCTGCTTGAAGGGCTTTGATCCCATTGTCCTCAAGCTTCACCTTGAGCATGTTGATGAACCTGCATTTGTTGAAATTGTTCGACAGATAATCTTCTTATTCCACGTTTATCTCCGTGTCTTTGGTGAAATGGATGTCAGCAGACTTCCTGAGTCTATAGCGCTTCTGCTGCTTGAGGTTGATGAGGAATAGCCGTCAAATACTACAGTACATCTCTTTCCGTGGTAGTTCTTCTTGATAAAGTGGATGTAGCTCTCACAGATTGTCGATATCTTGGCACCTCTTTGCCAAATTACTTTATGGAGGAGGAGTCCACCGTCACGATGTATAGCTGTGCGACATGTACATCTTTGGTCAGTCCAAGAACGGCTCCTGTGGTGTACCGCAGGGAATAGTTCTTGGACCTGTGATGTTCACAATATATCTTAACTCACTGCTAACCTCAGAAACTGAAGGGGAGATCGTTTCATTTGCAGACGACACTGTCATAGTTTATGTTGCGGATTCTTGGGCCGAAGTGAAAGAAACAGTGGAACGAGACATGGCCAAAATTAATAAATGGTTCAAATCGAACCTGCTAACAGTTAATATAGGAAAAACTTGCATTTTACCCTTTACATCATACGAATCCAACTTACCTAAAAAGTCAAGTATTTAGGAATATTTATTGACTCCTTCTTGAAATGGGATATTCATGTAGATAACTTGAAGAAAAAAATTCGCTCATTACTTTACAAATTTTTTCAATGCCGTTATGTACTTTCCCTTGATAATCTTAAAACAATATATTACGCTATTAGTGAGTCACTGCTAAGCTATGGTATAATCGGGTGGAGACCATTCTGGAACCCCTTTTAGTTTTACAAAAGACAGTATTGAAAATAATGACCTTCAAGCCAACCCTTTATCCATCTACTCAGCTCTATAAAGACCTGAATATACTAGACGTGAGACAAATATATGTGAAGTCTGTACTAATGTTCATATTTTCCAATAAAACTAGCTACCTTACCAAACCTGTTCACTCAAATAATACCCGAAGTATGAAAATAAATAATGTATCCCTACCTGGAGCCAATAAAGCGCTAGGACAGCGATCTCTAACATATATTGCTCATAGGATATACAGGGTGACCCAGGGTCAAACCGCCAAACGTGTAGAATCAGTATTTTAGGCAAAAAAATTCATTTTCTTACTATAACTTGCTTCATTTTAGAGATATAGGGTGTCAAAGTTTTCAGAAAAAAACAGTTTTTATTAATTACTCAAAAACCTTTGGGCTGATTTTGATAAAACTTGGCATGCTCATTTGTTTTATCAAAATCAGCCCAAAGGTTTTTGAGAAATTGATGAAAAACAAATGTTTTCTAAAAACTTTGATACCCCTTCCTTATCTCTGAAATTAAGCAAGTTAGGACACAGGCTTATAGGAAGAAAAAGTCTTATTTTTGTCTAAAAAACTGATCCTAATCGTTTGGCGGTTTAACCCTGGGTCACCCTGTATAATTATCTCCCAGAATACATCAGAAATATCAAATAAAAAAATTAGTTACAACAAAAATGTGAAAAAGTGAGAGAAAGATTCCCTGAGACTCGAATAGTATTTTATAAATGGAAAAAATAAAAAAAAATAAAATAAAAAATAAATAAATAAAAAAACTGCTGTTTTACCTTATTTCCGCCATTTTTTTTTTCATGGTATATTTTGCCACCAACGATTACTATTATGCTAATCTATAATTTACACTTTATTGTGTTTGCTTTATATTGAATTAATTTTAAGTGTCATGTGAATAAGATAGGACAACCTCATCCATGGACAGCCCTTACCAGGGCTAAATGGTGTTCCTGTTTATTTATGTAGGCAAAAATATGGTGAAAATTTTTTCTATAGATTACTATGTAAATAAACTTCTATTCTATTCTATTCTATTCTATTCTAATGTTGAATAGTTTGTACAGCACTGACTTAGTCGATTTCCTCATCCCACTCTCACTGAATAGGACTTACGAGAACGGGGTCAATTAGTATTTCATGTATAGCTTTAAATCTTCGACTGTTTTTTTTTGCTGATGGATATACGTCGGAAAAGTAAGAATGAAGTCATTATTTATAGTTTATATTATTTATAATTGACAAGAATTCATTGCTATATGAACCTATGGGCAGCATTTACTTCTTATGTGAATCGTTGAAGTGCTATCCCGTCAAGAAGAGCAGAAGAGTGAAGAAAAAATTTATTTTTCAAAATTACAGACTTTCAAGAGTGGATATCTCGAAAACTATACAAGATATCGGAAAATTTCACCCAACAAAAATTGTTGCAAATTCAATTTGCTTTCATTTTGTATGATATGGTGGTGTCGATAGGAAGCATAGTTTTCGAGATACAAGCAAAAAACCGAAAAATGAGCCTTTCAAACCTCCCCCCACCCAATCTGGCTGAAGGGCTATTGGCGGGGACTTTTGATATGTTCACCTTCTCACTAGTCCAAACAAAGTTACGGAGTCGAAAATTGTGTTCCAAGACTTTCCCTCTATACCTTTTTTTGAGCATTCGTTGCTTGAACTATAGGTGAAGTTGAAAAATTTTTCTTTATAGCTCGTCATATGATCTTTGAATCCACTATCCAAATCATCGGTTCTGTTTCATGTTTCACTGAAAATGATGAATGTTTTGTTAAATTTTGACATTTCTTTGCGCTGAATGCAAATTTTCTATTTGAGGGTCCAGCTTCGTCTTCTCTGGTCTCAATCTGCTTTTCTCGCTCTATGGATAATGGACAGTTCTTCTCAATATGTCCCATTTCCAAACATCGAAAACATTTCAGTAACTCATGAGGGCAACTTTGCATTTTCGGCTTCTGTTTGAATCTCTTCGTTGCTCCTGATGATTTAAACTGATGCATCTTGGTGGCTCGTCCTGCTGGTGTGGCTTGTCCTGGTCCTTCGATTTCCTTTCTGAAAGTTTTCTTCACCACTAAAGCTCTTGTTTCGTTTTTTTTTCTTTATCTGATGATATTTTGTTTTAATTTTTTTTTTCTTCTAGAAGTTTTGATTTCAAATTTTTCATGTTCAGATCGTTTTCGTCGTCTTTTAAATTTCTTGATAAGTATTCGTACTCTTTTGGCAATCTTAATATTGTGAATCCTGCTTGTACTTTTTCGTTCAAATCATGGCCTGCATTCTTTACTTTATGATGAAGACCATTCCTTCTGGTTAAATAATCATGAATTGAATCATTTTGTGATTTCGTAGCATTCACAAAATCCTTTAATAATGAGAATTCATGCCATATATCGTACTTTGTATGTATCTTCTTCAAATTATCCCAAATATCTTTTGCCCTGTGGCATTCCATGATATAATCCAAACTATCATTGTTCATCATGAGATATAAAATGGATTTGGCACTATGATTAATCTCCCAAATCAGTATTGGTATAACCGGGTTCAATTGCTTGCCATAGATTTTTTATTTCTAGAATATCTTGGGCTTTCATAGACAAATAACGATAGTTTTCAGAATTTAACTTCTCAACTATCAAATCATCCATTATGAAGAATTACGTCGTCTTTTCAATATGGATAGAATTGATTCTTCGTCGTCGTATATAAAGGTCCAGCTAATGAAGACTACCCCTATATATCTTGGAATTTTCGTCGTCGGCTTCTCGGAAAGCTAAAGGCCCATGACCTGTGTAAATCTATAGGATTCTGCAGAGAATTGCACAGCAAATCCGAGTGAAAACTCCAATAATTATTACGGAAAAACTGACTTTTAAACAATATATCGACGCGTCCATGCCAAAACGGCACAAACGCCATAATGATCACTTTTCACTTTTTGGTACTGGAAAATAGGTAATCACATTCTGCATCCGATGGTCGAAACGGCATTTTCGTAAAAAAAAATATCTGGCCAGAATTTGAATTTTGAATTTGCGCCAATTCGACCATATTCAATGAAATTCAAACGGCACAAAAGCTAGTTACCCATAATAGTTCAGTCATTGGGGATCCAAAATAAGGCTCACCTGGAAAAAAGTCCGGAAGTTTTGAAACTTTGTAGGATTATATTTTTGGGTGTCCAGAACAAAAATTCACAAAATGCATATTCCGGGACATGCCGCCGGCGCCACCATCTTGCCAAGATGGTGCTCAAAAACGGTTTTTTGAAAATATCTCCAAAACGGTGCGTTTTTAGGAAAAATATGAGGACATAAAAATTTAAGATGAAAAAATGTTCTACAAGAAATGTTTCGAGCATATTTCTGCTAAAGAGAGCCGTTTAGGCTCAAGAGCTGATTGAATGACAACATATCCTGTTAATTTCTATAAACTGCCCCTAACTATCTCCATATATGCGTATAAATTCATATTTTATAATAAAACGGGCTATTCAATTTGTTCCTCGTTATATTGGACGATTTTTAGATCAATTATGCGACAAAAATTTTGCATTTGTGACGCGATTATTTGGACGATATAAAAATTGCATTATCGACGAATCTGGCGACTTTGCTCCAGAAGTATGTGGGTGCAGGATGGTTATGAGTAAATTTCGTACCTATACTATGTATCCGTAGATATAGGTACCTTCTCGTAATGTAAAACCGCCCATAAATTCATAAAAATTTTGTTTTCTTGTCTTAACCACTCCATCCCAATATGAGTAAATACACAAAATATATATTTCAGATGAGATATTTTTATAAACGGTAAAAACACAGAACTTTTTCATCAACTAAATTACCTGTCCTAACGAACACAATTTGCCAATCAATAATTTTACGAGAAAA